CGCTTCCTCCTCTTCCTCCTCCTCCTCCTCCTCCCCCACCGTTTCCTCCTCGTCCTCCTCCACCTCCTCCTCCTTCATCTCCTCATCCTCATCCTCCGCTTCCTCCTCGTCCTCCTCCTCCTCCTCCTCCCTTCCTCCCTCCCTCCCTCCCCCCTCCTCTTCCCCCACGCTCGCCATCCTACTATTCAGCCTCCTCCTCCTCCTCCTCCTCCTCTTCCTCCTCCTCCACCCCCTTTCCTCCTCCTCCCCATCCTCCCCATCCTCCCCATCCTCCTCCTCCTCCTCCTCCTCCTCCTCCTCCTCCTCCTCCTCCTCTCCTCCTCCTCTCCTACGTATTCATCTTCTTCCCTCCTCCTCCTCCTCCTCCTCCTCCCTCCTCCTCCTCCTCCTCCTCCTTCCTCCCCCACCGATTACTCCGCGTCCTCCTCCACCTCCTCCTCCGCGTCCTCCTCCTCCTCCCTCCCCCCTCCTCCTCCACATCTTCCTCCTCCCCCTCCCCCTCCCCCTTCCTTTCTCTTTTCTCCGTTCTCCTCCTCCTCCTCCTCCTTCCCCCCCTCCGTCCCCCCTCCTTCTCACCCTCCTCTTCTTCCTCACCCTCCCGCTCCCCCTCCGCCCTCCGCCTTCCACCTCTGTCCTCTTCTTGCCTCCTCCTCCTCCTCGTCCTCATCCAACTCCAACTTTTCCTCCTCCTCCTGTTCCTCCTCCTCCTCTTCCTTCACCTCCTCCTCCTCCTCCTCCTACCTTTCCTCCTCCTGAAAACCTTTGAGCTGCAAGCTTAAGCACCGTCCCACGCGCACAGACAAGCATTTGGCCCCTCACCTATCCGCGCAATCAGCGGGCTGTTGGGGGTCGGCGCATAATCCCTGAGCCTGGCGCCCCAGATCCTCCACCACCACCACCACCGCTCTCCTCGGCAATCCACCGCCCAACCTCTGTTTCCCCCGCCCCCCTCCGTCGGCCTCCAACCTCCTCCCCCCGCCGTTCCCCCGACTCCTTAACTTTTCTTTTTTTACATCGGCCATGCACTCCACCCCTGGCCAGGCCAAGCCAGCGCCGCCACCACGAAGCCCGCGAGAAAAACCACGAAGACCCCGAAGAGAAAGCAATGCAGCCAACCCTCGCCATCGCTGTAGCCGAGGGAAGATTGACGAGGCTCGCCTCGAGAACCGCTCATGAGCAGAACCAGCGAACCACGGTGCGCATGACGTAGTGATCCCGAACAGCCAAGATAAGCAGCACGGTGGGGTAAACGACCACAAAAAACAGCCGATACACCCGAGCTGGGCGCCACCGAGTACGACCCGTGCATGCAGCAACGCAGCACCACGATGGACTCGTGGATAAGGCACCGCCCCCACCACTGGAAACGACTACGAATCAAACGACTGTACTGTCAGTTGTAGAAATGAAGACGTGGAGGTACACCATCAACACGAAGAGAGATAGGACAACACCACGACCTGTTCGCACATTGTGAAAGTGGTTATATATATATATACATACATGTATGCGGAAAACTCGAGCCGTCGCCACGGGCACCATTGCGCCGCAAGTCCCTCACTGGGACTCCCATCGACACCGCAACTATAACCACTGAGAAAAACAGAACGAGCCACATACCGCGACGCCACCAAAGACAAGGAATGACAAGCACGCCGCCGTGGCTTACCACAGCGTCCACCGACGAAGAACATTTTGAAGAAGAAGCCCAGGACCGGCCCTCAAGCCCGCACACGTGTGGTACAGCCCAGGGGTATCTCGGAGCAGGCCGCGAGCTCGCTTGAGCCAAAGCTGGCCTGAGCAAAGATGGGACTTGAGTCTCCTCTCTGATGGCGGAGGAGGAGGTTAAGGATGAAGAAAAAGACTCGTGATCATGATCCTTGGTCCGCCAAACAGGCACCCTGAAAGCACCGTCCCGTGGCAAAAAAAGCGACGGGTGATCTTGCTATTCCGGCCTCTCGGGCCCTCGCCAGACCCCAGGACCAGCAAAAACTGGCTCAGTATGAAAAACAGTCTCGGGGAAGGGGTCCAGACCTCTGAGGAGTCAGGCACCTGCTAGGCCGTAAAATCGCGACGGTACCCCCCAAGCGTACAGTGGAACGCACAAAGACATACTGACATTATATGTTCTCCTTGGAGGCGCGCGTCCAACCCATACATGTAGTATGCCCATCTTGTAGTATATCAATTCCCGAGCGGTGTGGCCAGAAAGAGCCCGCCACGACGCTTATACTTATACGACCACCCTTCGGGTGATAAGGAGGTTCGGGGGGCGAGGAACCAACGTCTCACTCGATCGGTCTCACTATCGATCTCACTATCGATCTCACTATCGGTCTCGCTCGATCGATCTCATTCGATCGATCTCACAATCGATCTCACTCGATGTATTTCATTCGATCGATCTCACAATCGATCTGACTATTGATCGCACGATCGATCTCACTATCGATCTCACTATCGATCTCACAATCGATCTCACAATCGATCTCACGATCGATCTCACTCTCGGTATCACAATCGATCTCACAATCAACGTCATCATCATCACCATCATCATCGGGACACCATCATCATCATCGTCACACCGTCATCATCAACATCATCATCATCATCATCATCACCATCATCATCATCATCGGGGCACCATCATCGTCACCATCATCAGCATCAACATCATCATCTTCGGGACACCCACATCATCATCGGAACACCACCGTCCTCATCATCTCATCATCATCATCATCATCATCATCATCATCATCATGAACAACATCATCAACATCATCATCATCATCGGGACACCATCATCGTCACCATCATCAGCATCAACATCATCATCATCATCAGCATCATCATCGGGACACACTCATCATCGTCACCATTTTCATCATCACCATCATCATCATCGGAACACCATCATCATCAGCATCATCATCACCATGATCGGGCCACCATCATCAAATCATCATCACCTCATCATCACCCTCATCATCAACATCATCATCATCATCGGGACACCATCATCGTCATTATCATCAACATCATCATCATCATCAGCATCATCATCATCATCATCGGGACACCAGCATCATCACCATCATCATCAACAGCATTATCATCAACCTCATCATCATCGTCATCATCGGGACACCATCATCATCATCTTCGTCATCACCATCATCATCATCATCTCATCATCATCATCATCAGGACCATCAACATCATCAGCATCATCATCGGGACACCATCATCAGCAACATCATAACCAACATCATTATTGTCATCATCATCATCATCGGGACACCATCATCATAAACACCATCACCAACATCATCATCAACATCGTCAACATCATCATCATCGGGACACCATGATCATCACCATCACATCAACATCGTCAACATCATCATCATCATCGGGACACCACCATCATCACCATCATCACCACCATCACATTCATCATCGTCAACATCATCGACATCATCATCATCACCACCATCATCACCACCACCACTATCATCATCATCATCATCATCAGCATCATCATCATCATCATCATCAGTATCAGCATCAGCATCAGCATCAGCATCAGCATCAGCATCAGCATCAGCATCAGCATCAGCATCAGCATCAGCATCAGCATCAGCATCATCATCATCATCATCATCATCATCATCATCATCATCATCATCATCATCATCATCATCATCGGGACACCGACGGGACACCGGCGGGACACTGGCGGGACACCGCGCGGCACCGGCCCCCTGTCAGGAATCATTTGGTCCGGCCGCGCCTCAGCTGGAGGCGGGACACCGGCGGGACTCCGCGCGCCACCGGCCCCCGGTCAAAAATCATTTGGTCCGGCCGCGCCTCAGCCGGAGGAGACTTTCTTCTGGCCCGCCCACGCAGCTTCGCCTCGCCCGCACGCACGGCACGCACGAACACGAAACCGAAACCGATTTCCCGGTAGGGGGGCTCTCCGTTCCACTTCGATCTCACCCCGTCACCTCCGACCATAAGATACTATAAGATTTCTCGGTGCGCGCATCGCCCCCCGGGGCGCGACGCACGTGGGGTGACGCCGATACAAGTAAAACCCGCAACAACTGTGCCGCGTAAGGGTGCCAGGCCTGCGAAGTCCTGCCGCGACGTCAGGCCACACGAGAGGGCAGGGATGGGCTGGAAAGGCAAGGATGCAAGGGCAGCTTCGTGAAGCCCCATGCACTGTGGACGAAAAGCGCAGCGCCTGACAAGCGGCACCTTGCCGGCCTGACCGCAGGCGGCTCTGCCATTCTGAGGTCACCGATGCTTTGGCTCTCTGCGGCTGGCCTTGCTTCGCCGAACCACCGTACTGGGCCCCCGCCGCGTGCACACTCAGCACGAGGGTCCACGCGGATGCGGACGCATGTGCGCAGCTGGAAATAATACCACAACGGATGGAATGCACGTGAGCCGCGTAGCCTCACGCAAGAACACTCCCCTTTGCTGACAAACCTCGAACTTCGGAACTGCGACGACCACAATACGCAATAAACTTCCCGCGCCTGAGCTCGAGGAGGAAGGAGGAAACTTTCAACAGAAAACAATGACACAACACGCCCATGAAATTTGCTAGGGCTTCCGAAAACGTGCATCTGTCCAATGTGTTATCCTCGACCCGTGATCTGAAATCCAAGACATCCCTCCCGCCGCCAAGACCTCAACCGAGGTCGGCCACAACATGGATCCTGGAGGCCCCGACCATTCTTCAGGGATAGTGTTTCTCTCAACCTGGGTCGTTTTACTGACGGTCCTGGGTCCCAGCACAGCCGCACGAAACCCGAAAAGCGGCCCAGAACCGTGCGTCGCTACGTCTTCATGACATGAGAGGGCCTAGGCATGTATGATGAAGCCTGCTGCTTTTGCTCTTCAGGGCAGGGGGGAGAGGAAGGGAAATCACGAGCGCCAACAGTGCCCCTCGGCGCAGACCTTGGGCGCTGCCCAACTTCGCGAGCGGAGTCCTCGGAAGCCAGCTGGAAGTACGTCAGGGCAATGGATATTTCCGCGCACGTCACGATCACGATCACCAGCACCAGCGCCAGGAAACCGAATAGGTAGTAGAATTGGTGCAGCCACCTGGCTCGGCGGCGGACGGGGGAAGCGACAGCAGCGTGAGCCGGCGCGTGCTCCTCACCCTCCGACTCCTCCCCGCCGTCCTCCTCCCCCGCCTCCACATCCTCAGCCTCCCTGCTTGATCCTGGTCGTCCTCGTCCCGCCGTCTAATGCCTCCCACTTCTCCTCCCCTTTCTCCTTCTCCTGTTCCTCCTCCTCCTCCTCCTCCTTCCGTTCAGATGGAAAGGGAGGGAGAGAGAGAGAGAGAGACAACACAAAGAAACAAAGAGAGAGAGAGAGACAGAGATAGCCACATTAAACACGAGACAGCGAAAAGGGGGGGGAGAGAGAGATAGAGAGAGAAACAGAGACAGAGAGAGAGGAAACAAAAAGAGAGAGTGGCAACATACAGAAAACTTGAGATGGGGAAGAGACAGAGAGAGAGGTAGACAGAGAGAGAGAGAAATATAGAGAGAGAGAGAGAGAAATATAGAGACAGAAAGAGAGAGAGAGAGTGAATGAGAGAAAGAGACATGAACATATACGAACAAACAAACAACAAACACATAAGCGTATGTGCATCATGTACAAATAAATGCGCAGACATCCAGAACAAAGAAATCCTTCACCGTGCCTCCGCCACGATGTGGAGTGCCCCGAGGCTCATGCAGCCCTGAAGGGTAAAGACGGCTCCAAGAAGGGGCCCAGACGGGGGACCCGAACAGACATGTCGAGAGGCCCTTAGGAGGCCCCAAGAAGCCCTCAGAAACCCTCCACTGGCTGCAAGAAAGCCAAAACTGCCCCCCTCTGGGGTCCCCCGAGAGCGATGCGAAACGATCCCTTCAGCAACCACCATCATCGCCATCGTCGCCACCATCATCACTACATGCTCGTAACCAGTATCAGCAGAATCAGCAGCATCAGCAGAACCATCATAATCATCACAGTCATCCACACCACCAACATCACCATCAGTACCATCATCGCCACCATCAGTCCCTCTTCCCGAACCTCTCTTCTTCAACTTCTGCTCCTCGCCGCATCATTATTCCCTCTATCTCTGTTCCTCCTCCTCCTCCTCCCGTCCCTTTCCTTCTCCCTCCTCCTCACTCGTATTAGCCCCTTTCTCCACTTCAGCTATATTCCAGATGTCAGCCCTCCTCTGAGGCTGGACTGGGAAAGACTTGGGGTAGCAGAGGTGCACCTACCGCAGGGGCTGCGTTCAGGGGTGCCTCCGTGTGCAGAGCACGGATAGCCAATGAATAAACATATTTCTCCTTCTCAGGCTCGCCCCTCGCCCTTGTAGTTATCCTGCTCCGCGTTGCCCCCCTCCTCTCAAACCTTTCTCCTTCTCTAGAGGAACAGAAGCTGCATGAACATAACATTTCGGATTTCCATGCGAATTTCTTGGATCGTCGCTGGACACCCGGCGCGGAGCTCCAAACGATTTTGATTATGCAATTGTTTGCTCCTCGAGCCTCCTTTTTCTATGACTGGCGTTGCTGCGTGGAGCTTCCGGAGGCAGGCGGGGCCACAGGGAGGACATGATGAAGAAAAGCTCTGTGAACACCGCGCCGAAGGGCAAGATGCCACCTGCCGCTTGCCAAAAGCGTCAGAGAGCCATGAACGGTGAGTGATTACAGATGATCGCAACATGATGCAAAGAACAGAAGACATCTGCGAAAGAGCGAGACTCCTCCAGGACCGAGATTGAACGAGAACTTGAAGAAATAACCATGCATCGGCACAACGTTCCAAACAGATTTTCTTGGAACGGCGCTGGACCTCCCTCACTGGTGCGCGGAGCGCGCCAAGGACGGTGCCAGAAGCGCCACCGGGAAGCCGTCCTGAACATCCATCAACTGCTAAATAGTGCACATGCTTACATGACATGTCAGAGGTCCGCGCGGATTTCTTGGATCTGCGCTGGACAACCTGAAGCGGGCCAAGCCCGGCGCGGGAGGCGCCTCCAGGAGGGCCCAGCGCCGATCCAAGAAATCGCGCGGACCTCCGAAAGATTATGTTTACGCGGCTTGTTTCTTCGAAACGGAGGATCTCCGAGAGAGGGCGGGACTCTTCCAGGGCCGAGGTTGCACAAGGAAGCCATATGACACGGCGCAGCAATCCACGGAGCGAGAGGACACGAGGGCACCACTGACTTTGCAACGTCCAGCCGCTCATCGGCCGCAGCTGCAACTCAAAAAACATCAGGGGCGTAGTAGAGAATAGGGGGGGCAAGGACGACGACGACCACGACGCAGACGACGTGGAGGGAGGGAGGGAGGATAGGGGTGAGGAGATCAAAGAGAGATGGAACGAGGAGGACGAGGAGGCCGAACATGAGGGCTGAGGAGCGAGGGAATGCATTTAACACTCGCGAAAACCCGGGCAGTCCTGGCACAGGGGGAGGCGGGGTCGTCGGGCGAACACCTAATGTTGTTCGCTGCTTTGCGCAATTCCATTGGCGACCTGATACTGAGTCCGCTACGGTCCGTAGGTTGCGAAAATGGTCCTGGCTCAAGGTGCTCCCAACTTTTCGCAACATGTTGGGGCCCCTGGGGCCCTGTGAACCTCGTGAGGGGTGCTCTGGAAGCCGTCTGCGCCTTTCTGGGAAAGTTGGGGTCACCTTGGGCCAAGCAAAACACGAACGTGGCACACACGTCTGGGAACCGCCCGCTGGACCGCCGTCAACAACAGGGTCAGAGTATCGTTGGGGGAAGGGCAGGGGGCAGTGCCCGACAATGACCGGCTTGGGGCTCATCCCTACCCCTGATATTGGCAAGCTCGAAGCGATGACAATCTTAGAAACTATGCGAGTGTGGAGCGCAAAGGCGGTCGATTTTCTCAATCGGCACCGACATTCCCGTCATTGGCTGGTACACTAGATACATAGTGTGGGAAACCTTGCTATAAGAACTCTTGTGGCACATTCCTCGTCGTTCTTTGAATGTTCTGAGGTGCCACTGTGGGTCCCTGGGATCAGAATTTTCCGTGGGGCACCTATTGCCAGGCCGATGTCTTGTTTGATGCGCGGTTATCGCTGCACCCCCCCAGGGGGAGAACCGAATCAGTGTCGTGAATTCTTGATCCACGGGATAGAGAGCTCACACGTCCGACAGCCTGGATGGCCTCAGTCTCAGGAATCGATCAGAGTCTCGAAACCCCTCCATGGGCACGACGTTGTCGCGAGGGCCTATTTGAACCATACCATGGCTTGATCAAGATCCTCACATGCCGCTGCAGGCTGCCGAATTGACGTTCTTTTCCGGTCCTCGAGTGTGACGTCGTCTGGGATTCTCCAAATGGTTCCACGACGCCCCCCCCCCTTGGGGTAGGCCCGCCCGACCACAGGCTGCGGACCCGGAGGGGAAGGAGGCAGCAAGGCCATGTGTCTGGGGCGTGGTTCGGGGTGAAAGGGGAAGGATCGGCGACGGAGAGGAGGGGAGGGGGGTGAAGGGGCAGGAAGGGGAGGGAGGGGAGGGAGGAAAGAGGGTGGAGCATGGGCTTGGACACAGGATGACGTAGAGAAGGATGAAGGAATAGAGGGAGGAGAAGAGGCAGGATCATGAGAGGGCGATGAAGGAAAAGGAGGAGGAGAGGAGGATGGAAGAAGAGGGAAGAGGTAGGAAGCAACCGAGGGAAATCTTACCTCGTGCCCCTCATCCGACCTCCATCCTGCTCCTCATCCACATGCTTGGTATCATCACCATCCGTGTCCACAATCATCATAACCATCATCATAACCATCGTCGCTAACATCGCAATCATCAACATCGAAATCATATAATCAGCGTCATCGTCATCGTCATCATCATCATCATCATCGTCATCGTCGTCATCATCATCATCATCATCATCATCATCATCATCATCGTTAGCATGTCCACCAGCATCAGTATCATAATCAACATCATCACACACATCAGCCGCATCATCAACATCATCAGCATCAACATTATCAGCATTTGTTTCATCATCGGACATCACCACGAGCTTCGTCATCAGTCATAACTAGCAACACAATCATCATCATACCCATCATCATCAACAACAACATCATCACCATCCACACATTGACCCTAACCTCATCACCATCATCCGCATCATCAGTTTCATCGTAATTCAAGCATCCCCATCATCATCAGCCGCATCATCATCACATTCATCACCAGCAGCATATCCATCAGCACCATCATTATCATAATCATCAATATCATGAATACCACCACAAACATCATTATCATCAGCAACGTCACTAGCAGCACCACCATCAACATCCTCATCCCCATATTTACCATAACATAGTCACCCGTTTAAGTCATCATCATCAACCACATCCTCATCCTCAGCATCAGCAGCATCAACACCACCATCCGCATCACCACCAGCATCATCATCATCATCATCATCATCATCATCATCATCATCATCATCAACATCATCAACATCATCACCATCGCATCCGATGCCATCATCATCATCCCAAGTTCCCGACTCTATTGCAGCTGGACAACCAGGGTGTCTATGACGCCGACCCTCCGCGAGTGCATATCGAGGAATGCGGCCCGACAGGCCGCCCAAAAGAGCACCTGCTGCGTGAAACCGGACGACAGCTTGAAACTCTTGGATCAGGGTGGTGGTAGGGGGGAACAGGGGGGGGACGCTGAAGCCACCGCGGTTGCGGAGAGGACGTTGGGGGTCGAGCGTTTGGCCCAAGAGTTGAATGCGCACGAGCACGCGCGCCGCGCAACCGCTTCGGATCGGGCTCGTCTAACTCTGCGGGTCTTTACCTTAGAGCGGCTGGTGAGCTCGCCGAATCTGACTACATCTACTTCGTTTGCTGTCAGCCCATCTCTCGGCCTCGAGCTCGGCGAGGTCCAGACCGAAGGATAAGAAAGAGGTGCTCTTCTAAGGAACGCCCCACCGACGGGAATCGGCGGCGATGACAGAAACACCCCGAGCTGGAGACATACGTCGCATAGCAGGGCAATCCAACTAGCGGTTCCGAGCTGGATTCTCGAGGGCGCTCCTGCGCCTGCCTAGATTCGCGGGCCAGCGCAGCGGAAAACAACACCAGGATACTTCCACCTTCTCGCGGTCAACCTGGGACAGCCCCCCGAGGCCCATAGGCTCCACGTCACTGCGGGGCCTAGGGGGGCCCTGGGAGGATGTGCTGGGCACAGCTGAGGGACGAGCGCGGCGCGGCCGCGCGGGGCCAAACCACCAGCCCGCCCCTCGCCCACCCCAAGAGAAGGCGATTGCGCGTGGACCTGAGGTCGTAAATCTCTCCAAGACTGGTGTCCCAAAGCAGCGCCGTCACCCCGCGGCCGACACCGCTTCCGAGAGGTGGCCGCCCCCCGAGGAGACTTCGACGAAGACCCGCTGTCGGAGCTGAATGGCGCAGGACAGTGCTGGCCAGACGCCACCTCGGCGAACGGCTCGACGCAGCGTTGTCGTGGATCTGCGGCGCGGGCACGATCTCGCGGACCACGCCTGAACCCGCCGCCTTCCTCACAACGGCGGATCGAGGGCCGCGGGCGCCAGCGACCGCGGCGGCGGCAGTCTTCCGGGCCGCGGCAGCCCGGCGCGAAGTCGAGCAAGGCGCCGCCGCGTCGCAGCACGCGCCTGTGAACGGCGGCCATGGTGGCCTCGACCCACAGGGCCTGCACAACCATCTAGACGTCCTTCGTCACCTCCCTGAGCGTCGCCGTGAGGAGGGGCGTTGCGAGGCGATGGCCCGCGCCGCGTGCTTCAGCTGGGCGGCGCGCCACTCCGCCCCCCCCCCCCCCCGACGGCTCGCCTTCCGGCCGAGGGCGGGCCCGAACGCCGCGCGGCGCTCGAGGTCCAGAGAAAGGCTCTCGTCGAACACGCCTGTCTTGGACCCCCGCTCCGTCGCGGCCGCGGGCGGGGTCGCGCGCCGCTGGCTCGCCCCGCTGACCCTCGCCACGGGAAGCAACAGGCTCGCAGCTCTCGCGCGGATCGCCCGCGCGGGCACAACGTCCAGCTCGAAGACCAGCATCGCGACAAAAGCGCGCTGCACCAGCTGGCGGCCCAGGAGCTCCATCACGACCGTTGCCGCGGCCATGAAGGGCATCCGCGAGCGCGATCGCAGCGACGCCCACGCGCGCGCGCCCTGCAGGACGCGACGGGAGCGCGGCATCAGCGCGCCCGAGGCCTCGCTCACCCCCACGACGAAGGTCGCCGCCACGTGCGCCGAGAAGCCCGCACACAGGTCGACCCAGGTCCTTCCCGTTGAAGTAAAGCACGTCCAGTCTCTGCGCGATCGCCGCGCCCGCCGGGCCCTGGGTCGCCAGGTCCCGCCCAGTCGCCAAGACGTGGAGGTCGCCGAAGATCTCCCAGCACCGCGTCCGCGCCCTGGACTTGACTGGCCGCCTGCGACTGTGGCCCCGCTGCCGGATAGCCGCCCTTCGAGGACGCGCAGACGACGTCGGCAGGCTCGCTTCCGACTTCCCCGCCGCTGCTGCCCTGGACGCGACCGTCTCCGAGGCGCCCGCGCGCCGAGCAGCCCCAGCCCCAGACCCGCGCGCTCCGCCCGCTTGCGAAACCCCACCATGGCGGCCCGCGCGCACATG